TACATCTCACACTTAACAACCCTCAGGCACTCACTACACCTCGCACTTAACAACCTCAGGCACTCACTACACCTCACACTTAACAACCCTCGGGCACTCACTACACCTCACACTTAACAACCCTCGATCACTCACTACACCTCACACTTAACAACACTCGGGCACTCACTACACCTCACACTTAACAACACTCGGGCACTCACTACACCTTACACTTAAAATCACAAATTTAGAGAAGGTAAATTCTTGAGAAACCATTAAGAAAACAGCTGCGACTCCAAATTAAAACAATTACAAGAAATTTCAGTTAATTTATTTATATATTTACACGAAGTACCTCATTAACCTCACGAGCAAGGTAATTATCCATAATTCTTAAATGAAATCTAATTAATGCCCCATTAAATATAACTATATGTTATAATATATATATATTTTAAGATAATTTATTTACTAATATATAATTTTTTATAATTAATATATTATATAAGGAGGGTCAACCTTGGTGTATAATGGGGGATATACTATATATATTATACAGATATATTTTATATATCTAATAATTATTATTATACAATATATTGTTGTTATACATATATTATATATCTAACGTTGGTGGGTCCCTCAGTTTCTTACCTGTGATTAAGAGGGAGATTTTTCCTAATTAATTTGCAGCGCTAGTTACCTTTTGATTATCACCTGGGTGAAGTTGTAATTAATTAGGTGAACGGTGTGTAGTTCTCGTAATGACCACAGATGACCCTATTACTTCCGAAAGTGTTTTATTTTTTTCCTCTTTAATGTTTCAGGTGTCTATTTTTTTACTGGCGAGGGATAATGGGGTTTATCTTCTTTTGAAGGAGAGTAGGGACTGTGTCTTCTAAATGGGATAAGGAAGGTCATTATCTTTTGTGGGGCTAAGGGAATTCTATGCTTTTGAAGTAGGAATAAAGGTCATTTTACAGTGGAAAAAGTGGTTTTTGACATTACTTGATGGTTAGAGGGAAAATAGTGGGGGGGGAATCTTGGTATCTTGAATCTGAATATAAGAAGTTTGTTTTTGAAGTGGGGAATACCATGGGAATTTTTTCTTCAGTGTAAAGTGGTAGTTCAATTGTTGTCTTACCCACGAGGTAACCTTGTTGTCTTACCCACGAGGTAACCTTGTTGTCTTACCCACGAGGTAACCTTGTTGTCTTACCCACGAGGTAACCTTGTTGCCTTACCTACGAGGTAACCTTGTTGCCTTACCACGAGGTAACCTTGTTGTCTTACCTACGAGGTAACCTTGTTGTCTTACCCACGAGGTAACCTTGTTGTCTTACCCACGAGGTAACCTTGTTGTCTTACCCACGAGGTAACCTTGTTGTCTTACCCACGAGGTACCTTGTTGTCCTTACCCACGAGGTAACCTTGTTGCCTTACCTCGAGGTAACCTTGTTGTCTTACCCACGAGGTAACCTTGCTCTCTTACCTACGAGGTAACCTTGTTGTCTTACCCACGAGGTAACCTTGTTGTCTTACCCACGAGGTAACCTTGTTGTCTTACCTACGAGGTAACCTTGTTGTCTTACCTACGAGGTAACCTTGTTGTCTTACCTACGAGGTAACCTTGTTGTCTTACCTACGAGGTAACCTTGTTGTCTTACCTACGAGGTAACCTTGTTGTCTTACCTACGAGGTAACCTTGTTGTCTTACCCACGAGGTAACCTTGTTGTCTTAAACCTACAAAGGTATCCTTGTTGTCTTACCTACAGGTAACCTTGTTGTCTTACCCACGAGGTAACCTTGTTGTCTTACCTACGAGGTAACCTTGTACTCGTTCTTAACCTACGAGGTAACCTTGTTCGTCTTACCTACAAGGTAACCTTGTTTGTCTTACCACGAGGTAACCTTGTGTCTTACCTACCGAGTAACTTGTGTTGTCTTACCTACAGGTAGCCTTGTTGTGTCTTACCTACAGGTAACTTTGTTGTCTTACCTACGAGGTAACCTTGTTGTCTTACCTACGAGGTAACCTTGTTGTCTACACCACGAGGTAACCTTGTTGGTCTTACTACGAGGTAACCTTGTTGTCTTACCACGAGGTAACCTTGTTGTTCTTAACCTACGAGGTAACCTTGTTGTCTTACCCACGAGGTAACCTTGTTGTCTTAACCTACGAGGTAACCTTGTTGTTTTAAACCCACGAGGTAACCTTGTTGTCTTACCTACAGGTATCCTTGTTGTCTTACCCACGAGGTAACCTTGTTGTCTTAACCACGAGGTAACCTTGTTTGTCTTAACCCATGAGGTAACCTTGTTGTCTTAACCACGAGGTAACCTTGTTGTCTTACCACGAGGTAACCTTGTTGTCTTACCCACGAGGTAACCTTGTTGTCTTACATACGAGGTAACCTTGTTGTCTTACCCACGAGGTAACCTTGTTGTCTTACCAACGAGGTAACCTTGTTGTCTTACCCACTAGGTAACCTTGTTGTCTTACCTACGAGGTAACCTTGTTGTCTTACCTACGAGGTAACCTTGTTGTCTTAACCCACGAGGTAACCTTGTTGTCTTACCTACGAGGTAACCTTGTTGTCTTACCCACCAGGTAACCTTGTACCTCGCGTACTTAACCACAAGGTAACCTTGTACCTCGTGTACTTTACCACAAATTAACCTTGTTGTCTTACCCACCAGGTAACCTTGTACCTCGTGTACTTAACCACAAGGTAACCTTGTACCTCGTGTACTTAACCACAAGGTAACCTTGTACCTCGTGTACTTAACCACAAGGTAACCTTGTACCTCGTGTACTTAACCACAAGGTAACCTTGTACCTCGCGTACTTAACCACAAGGTAACCTTGTACCTCGTGTACTTAACCACAAGGTAACCTTGTACCTCGCGTACTTAACCACAAGGTAACCTTGTACCTCGTGTACTTAACCACAAGGTAACCTTGTACCTCGTGTACTTAACCACAAGGTAACCTTGTACCTCGTGTACTTAACCACAAGGTAACCTTGTACCTCGTGTACTTAACCACAAGGTAATCTTGTACCTCGTGTACTTAACCACAAGGTAACCTTGTACCTCGCGTACTTAACCACGAGGTAACCTTGTACCTCGTGTACTTAACCACAAGGTAACCTTGTACCTCGGTACTAACCACAAGGTAAGACCTTGTAACCACGTTGTACTTAACCACAAAGGTAACCTTGTACCTCGTGTACTTAACCACAAGGTAACCTCGTACCTCGCGTACTTAACCACAAGGTACCTTGTACCTCGTGTACTTAACCACAAGGTAACCTTGTACCTCGTGTACTTAACCACAAGGTAACCTTGTACATCGTGTATTTAACCACAAGGTAACCTTGTACCTCGTGTACTTAACCACAAGGTAACCTTGTACCTCGTGTACTTAACCACAAGGTAACCTTGTACCTCGTGTACTTAACCACAAGGTAATCTTGTACCTCGTGTACTTAACCACAAGGTAACCTTGTACCTCGCGTACATAACCACAAGGTAACCTTGTACCTCGTGTACTTAACCACAAGGTAACCTTGTACCTCGTGTACTTAACCACAAGGTAACCTCGTACCTCGCGTACTTAACCACAAGGTAACCTTGTACCTTGTGTACTTAACCACAAGGTAACCTTGTACCTCGCGTACTTAACCAGAAGGTAACCTTGTACCTCGTGTACTTAACCACAAGGCAACCTTGTACTTCGTGTACTTAACCACAAGGTAATCTTGTACATCGTGTACTTAACCTTGAGGTAACCTTGTACCTCGTGTACTTAACCACAAGGTAACCTTGCACCTCGTGTACTTAACCACAATGTAACCTTGTACCTCGCGTACTTAACTACAAGGTAACCTTGTACCTCGTGTGCTTAACCACGAGGTAGCCTTGTACCTCGTGTACTTAACCACAAGGTAACCTTTTACCTTGTGTACTTAACCACAAGGTAACCTTGTACCTCATGTTCTTTACCACAAGGTAACCTTGTACCTCGCGTACTTAACCACAAGGTAACCTTGTACCTCGTGTACTTAACCACAAGGTAACCTTGTACCTCGTGTACTTAACCACGAGGTAACATTTTCCATTTATCCCCAAATTAAAAGCAACAGCTACTCTTATACTTCTCGGGAAGCGCTAAGCCCGTCGGAGCCACTTAGCAGCTGAGGAACGGGAGTGGTTATAAGAAGGGGGAAGGAAACTGCTCCTATTCCCGTGACCTAGAGCCCTTCAATGTTATATGTATACAGTTCCTGCTGCTAAGGCAGACAGTTCTTACAGTTTTCTGGGGAGATTAAGAACTGTGTTGAAACCAGTTGTGTTTTACAAGTGTTTAAGAACTGTGTTAAAACCAGCTGTGTTTTACAAGTGTTTAAGAACTGTGTTGAAACCAGTTGTGTTTTACAGGCGTTATGGGGCTTTGACAGTCGAAATTTCCTCTGGCTGGGAAGACATTTCGACTGTGTTATAATGGTATTCGACTCCGACTAGTTAACGACATGTCCTGTGGTACTGGCCACCTGATGTCTGAAACATTGATGGTCCAGTAGACTGAGGCGTCTCAGAAATTTGGCAGGTTTCCCGGGTGGCTTGCTGAAATATCGGGGTGTTCGATTCCTGGCCAGTCGCAGTATTGCTGTTTGCAGTTACGACACTTAGATGTCTTTGTTGGCGAACCTATTCGCCTGCGCTCCGGGCTTCCTCAGCCGAATATAGAGATCAGTTACACTCCTGGAGGTAGGTTGAGGTAAGCAGTCCTGCAGTCTGGATGGAAGGCAGTAGAAGAGAGAAAATAGTAGAAACCTTGATGGAAGACAGTAGACCTCTCTACTTCGTCTGCTATCTCCAGGATCGTAATTTATCTTAGTATTCGACTTATTAAGCCTGCAGCGCAGGCGAGCGTTTCGTCAATGAAAGAAAAAACAGTGTTGTACATGTGGGGGATTAGTCACATAACAGGGAACTCGTCAACAACACTCACCCTTATCGTAGACATTGGTAGGGACGTGGACGGATGAGTGGTTCTCGTTGACAGCAATGCCGTCGAAGTGGGAGTTCTCAGTGAGGGTGAGCCTCTTGAAGCCTTCTCTTAGCTCACCCTTGAGCTTGTGCTCGGGAGGGTAGAACTTGTTGAGTCGCTTGGCGTTGTAGTACTCCACCTCCTCGTCTTGCTTATACTCCTTGTCCAGCGAGGCCTCCTCTGCCACGTTCATGATCCTCTGTGGGGAAGATGGGAGTTATAATCGTGTACAGCTATGTTGTATTTGGCAGGTATTGGCAACAAGTATAGGGTTAAAATACTTGGTGAAGTGGAAACCTGTATTTTCTTGTGGATATCATACAATACACATGTACAGTAGCTGTGTATCATTGACTTGTGTGCTTTTTCAGTCTCATATGGATTATTATTATTATTATTATTATTACCAAAAAGAAGCGCTAAGCCACAAGGGCTATACAGCGCTGCAGTCTTATATGGAGATGACCTTTATATCCATGGAAGAAGTGGATAAGTAATTTAAAGGTGTAAGGTTCTTTAGACTTAGATCTATCAAGTGTATGGGACTGATCTACCAAGGCTAATGGAATGATAACCTTATGGTCTTCAATATAAAAGTGAAAATTCTTCTGTTTAATCATAATCATCATCACATCATCAGCCTGGCTATGATACGTTGACCACATTCTTCAAATCATTCCTAGACTGTTCAACCTAGAACGTCTATGACCACTTCAGCACATTGGAACCCATCATCCAATTCACCCTCAAAATGAGGTAAGATGCCACACGACACTTCTTTCATATCAAACGTCTCACCGTCCAAAACAACTTCAATTTTCAGATCTACTGAAAACCTACTAATGGCGACAATCTCATTCACTTCTTTCCCCACTACATCAAGTTTACTAACCCTGGTGTCTTTATGGGTTTCTCAGAGTTTACAGAATATGTAGCTCCGAGTTTCTTGGAGACGAGTGTAAAACCGCTGCCAACACATTCACCAAACTCAAGTTTTCCCCTCATATTTCATCTTAGATTGCAGACGTTCAGTGCAGCAGGCACTCGGCAACCCTGGGGAGGACACTGACAATAACCAACGCATCATTTTTGCGTACTGGTGGAGTAGCCGACAACACAACCTAGGTTCTCCAACAAAGTGACACCTACGTGGTATTCAAAACATCTAAATCCACACAGGAGCTGTGATCAGACTGAATGCCAACCACCACCACTCAGACACAGGTGTGTATGAGATCCCGTGTGGAGAGTGTGGGGAAACAGCACTCAGCCTACACACTAGAATCACAGGACAAAGCGTGTAAGAGTGAAGGTCAGAGACACACACACACCGTGGCCTGCACAGGTACTGTACTCATCTCCAGGGAAGACCACAAATGCAGAAGACTATGTTAATGGAGTCAGCAATCATACATCCAACAATATAGAGAGAAATTATGGGATATATTTATCATTGCCTAACCTGATCTTACGCTGAGAAATATTGGATGCCCGAGGAAAAAACTATTCAAATATAATCAGGAATAGTTGTTTTAACCAAAGTTAAGCAAACTAAGGGACGACTCCTTCGTGCACCTTCGACAAACTTGCTCATAAAACTTACCCAAATGATTTGTCTCTAAGTTCATTCACAATATTATCTTCTTCCATAACACAATCACGTCCTACAAGTAATGGTACTTCCTCTCAGATCACCTCCACAAATGACCTATTTCGTCTATCCTCCACTCACCTGATGAAGGCCACTGTGTGGGCGAAACGTTGTCTATACTAATGTTTTCTCCTGCACCAAATGTCCTTCTGCCCTGTGTACATCTTTATCAAGACTCGCACTATAATCTACTTGATCATGGGCTTTTGTCCAGTTTACTCTGATCAAGTATAGCCGAGCTGGATACAAAGGCGTGAGTCCAACAAAAGAAAAGAGACAAGCTTTTGTTGTGACATTTCGCTTCTATAACTACGTCAGTCTTCCGTGTCTTTTCTCCAGTACAAAGTAAGACCGTCTCTCATCACTGAACGATATTTCAGTCAAAAAGTCTCGTGAAATTTAAGTCAGCATACACAATTAGGAACTAATGAGCATGCGGGGCCCCTTTGGGGAAAATACGCCTTTGCGTATTTAGCGCCAGACAGAGGAAAGAAAGTCATTCTCAGGATGCTTAAGACGCTTTGCCTCATTCTCCCGCTGGTAAATGAGCTTTCCTCCTCCCTCCTTTTCCTTCCCAGTCTCATCCCCCTCTTCTCCCCTTACGCCTCATCTTCCCCCTCCCCCCCCTCGCCTCAAAGAACAAAAAAGGGCCCCACACATTGAGTGCAATAAGGGGTGCTGCAACAAACTTGGGGTTGATGTTACGGTCAGTTTCACTGGTGTTTACCTCTGGATGTTATGGTCTGGTGGGCCAGTTGGTGCCTCGCTCACGCAAGAAAAACATCAACTTTCTGTAGCAAACTTTGTCGACGATGACTCCACCTTTTGTCTTCCTCCCAACTGGGTTCTTTTCTCGCATTAATGTATGTGTCTTCGCACAAATTTCTTTCGGGAGAAGAAAGATAGGGTGAAGAGAGGGAAGGAAGGTGTGGGAGCATGAAGAGAGAGAACGAGGGTGAAGGAGGGTAAGGGAGTTTTGTTTTTTAGAATAAGGCAATGTGCTACTGCCCTATTCTAAATAATAATTATATAATGGGAAGAAAAGTTAGCCATGGTTTCCAGTCCCAATCCCTCACACAGGACGCATTTCATACATAGTGTTTAAATGTGCCAGTCTGAGCTGGGAGACTTTAGTAGGACAGTGAGAATATCGTCAAGTATTCCATTAAAAGCTTATCAGATACCACAACTTCAAAGGTTACATTCCAGCAGATCTAGAGTCACTATTACCTGGAAATTATCATGTCTCAGGATGGTCTTTCACCACAAACAGAAATTTTTTTTAATAAAGATACATACATACTACATTAATATATATAATATATATAATAATATATAATATATTTATATATATATATATATATATATAATATATATAATATATATTAGGATGGGGTCCACCTCTGGTGTAAATTGTGGGACCCATAGCCTCGGAGAAGTGGATTAAAAAGGCTTCAAGGAAGAATATTTGGATTTCTTCCTGAAGCCATTTGAATATTCCACTTCCCCTACCACCCCATCTTTTGAACTATTTTTTTTTTTTTTTTACCAATAGGAATATTTTATTACATAATAATATATATATATATATATATATTGTGGGTATTAAGGTAATCTGTGATCTCTTTCTCAAAGTTCTTCATTACCTCAAGATTAATAGAGTTTTTCTTTGCCAGAATCAAGTCAAACAGATTATTTCTTCCAGTGGTTCTGTCATAGACTGTTTAAAAAAAATAGCGTCTTGGACCACTTTTATAAAGTCGCCGGACTCTAGATTTCCTCTGAGATTGATCCAGTCAATTTGGCTAAAGTTAAAATCTTCCATTAAAATCACATTTTCATATCTAGATATCTTGGTAATTTCGTCACACAGAAGTTTACACGGGTCAAAATTTAAGGTCATAGGTCTGTAGGTCTCCCTAGGATCAGCTTTCCAATGATCTTCGAGAATCTACAGCCAAACAGATTCCATATCTGTTTCCTCCTCCTTCATCGCTGTTTCTACCTTTTAAATCATTCCCTGACAAACCGGCAACTTTCCTGTTCAGTCTATGACTGTGGCATACTTTATACTCAGTAGCTGGATTGGTAGCGCACTCAGCTCACACAGTAAGGTCCGTGGTTCGATCCCCGGTACGGGTGGGAACATTAGGACGTGTTTCCTTAAGACATCTGCTGCCCATGTTCACCCATCAGTAAAATAGGTACCTGGGTGTTAGTCGACTGGTGTAGGTCGCATCCTGGGGACAAAATTGACTTAATTTGCCCGAAATGCTCTATATAACAAGGTCATTGATGTCAGCTATGGTCTGTATAAGTTGTATCAGGTACTTATAGAAATAAAGATTATTATTATTATTATTATTATTTTATTATTATTATTATTATTATTATTATTATTATTATTATTATTATTATTATTATTATTATTATTATTATTATTCAACAGGCCTATATCTGTTTTTCCCACTGAACCAGGTCTCAAATATTGTCTATAATACTTATGCTTTCTTCATATCCAAGGAATAAGATAGCTCCAGCCCCTTGGATCAAAAGCTCTTTACCAGTATCGAAGCACTTCCCCTTGAAGAAAAAAATGCGTAAAATTAAATAAGAATTTTATCTCGTTTTCTGTGAGGCAGCGGCCAGAGGAAATTGGGTAGACTTCGCTGTCTCTTTTACGGTCATATAATTTCCCAGGAATTGACAAGCCCACAACACTATTTTCCCCAATTATTTTAGTACGCAATCCTGCAGGCGCCCGGGGAGTTGTTTACTTGGAAGATTGTGTTGTGGGGAATGGAGAGTGTTGTGGAGTTGTGTGGGAAGAGATGGGAGATGTGGGAAGGATGTTTGTGTGTGTGTGTGTGTGTGTGTGTGTGTGTGTGTGTGTGTAGTCACCTAGTTGTATTCACCTAGTTGAGGTTGCAGGGGTTGAGTCCAAGCTCCTGGCCCCGCCTCTTCACTGGTCGCTACTAGGTCACTCTACCTGAACCGTGAGCTTTATCATACCTCTGCTTAAAGCTATGTATGGATCATGCCTCCACTACATCGCTTCCCAAACTATTCCACTTCCTGACTACTCTGTGGCTGAAGAAATGTGTGTGTAGGGGGGGGGATGAGGTCGTAGAGTGAAGTTCTGATGTTCTGCGAGGTTGAACTCGTTCCAAACCCCAGTTCCTTAATCTGAAATTGACCAGCTTGTCTCCTCTACCCAGTGGAATGGCGACCCACATCAGTCGGCTAACACCCAGGTACCTACTTCCTGCTCGGTGAAGAGGCCCAGGTACCTACTTCCTGCTTGGTGAAGAGGGACTGCAGGTATAAACAAGCATGCCTAATAAAGTGGACCCCCGCTTAACGATCACCTCCCAATGCGACCAATTATGTAAGTGTATTTATGTAAGTGCATTTGTATGTGTATGTTTGGGGGTCTGAAATGGACTAATCTACTTCACAATATTCCTTATGGGAACAAATTCAGTCAGTACTGGTACCTGAACATACTTCTGGAATGAAAAAATATCGTTAACCGGGGGTCCACTGTATTTCCTCCTGTACCGGGGATCGAATCACGGACACTCAGTGTTTGAGATGTGTACGCTACCAACCGAGCTACTTAGAAATTACAAATAAATATATATTTATAAATAAATATATTTATCAGTGCACGTTTCACCCATTGGAAGTTTTTTCAATCCAACGATTCGAGGGAAAATAACAGTAGGGGAAACGTCTTCTGATAAGTATGCCAAATGTTGCATACATGTTATTTCTTCACGTCATCTTGCATATGATGAGACTAAGTGGAAGGTAAGACTCTCGCACGAGGCGTCTCCAGAAGGCTCCAAAGATTCCTTTAGTTTTATTATTCCATGACTATTTCTGCTGTGCCGTGAAAATAGCAGTCGGAACTATTTTTCACTCTTCTTATGGGACGGCAGAGAACTGGAAAAAACGTGGCGGAGGAGGCTGTAGAGGGATCTATACGTTTTAATCCAGTTTATGATTCTTGCAATAGGCCTGTGCAATATGCCTGTGTAATATGTATGACCTTTCTTAGAGAGCTTTTCAATCAATGCCTTGCTTGTTCCTGGCTTTTCTGTTGATAGATTGTTCAACCAAGTTGATACTGTTAGGTTAGGTCAGGTTAGGTTAGGTCAGGTTAAGTTAGGATAGGGTTAGGTTAGGTTAGGTTAGGCCAGGTTAGGTTAAGTCAGGTTAAGTTTGGTTAGGTTAGGTTAGGTCAGGTTAGGGTAGGTTAGGATAGGTTAGGTTAGGATAGATTAGGTTAGGCCAGGTTAGGTTAAGTCAGGTTAAATTTGGTTAGGTTAGGTTAGGTCAGGTTAGGTTAGGATAGATTAGGGTAGGCCAGGTTAGGTTAGGTCAGGTTAAGTTAGGTTAGGTTAGGTTAGGTCAGGCTAAGTTAGGTTAGGTTAGGTCAGGTTAAGTTAGGTTAGGTTAGGTTAGGTCAGGCTAAGTTAGGTTAGGTTAGGTTAGGTCAGGTTAAGTTAGGTTAGGTTAGGTTATGTCAGGTTAAGTTAGGTCAGGTTAGGTGAGCGAAACGTTACAACAATAAAATATCACATTAGTTGTACGTCCATTTAATTAAAATATTGTCGATAATTCTACCAACAGTATTATTATTATTATTATTATTATTATTATTATTATTATTATCAGGATTAGTATTATTTATATTAGTATTTTTGCATTCGAGATTGTTATGTCTCTGATTAGCTCCTCAATATGACACTCAGATAACAGTCTCCTCCAAGTGGCGAATTCCGGATATTCTGACTGGCTGTAAGGTGATCAGTCACACAAAAGCCGAGAGCTGCTATGTGTCTGAGCAAAATACGCCTATATGAAATCAGATCTGATTACACAAACGCTATATGGTCCTTGGTGCTGGTGAAGATAATAGTCAGCGTATTTTCCTCTCTAGCTGGTTCCCTTGTCAGTTAGCTTAAAGGAAATTAATCACAGAAGGGTCTGTTGGTCTCTGTTACGTGTCTGTTGGGCTGACGTGCTTCCTGCTACTGTTTCTGGTACACTGTTTTTGTCTTCCGTTTTACGTTCAAGGTTCCGGAAGATTGATGTCTCCTAGGAGGGTAATATTTGGTGTATGATTTACAAGGCTTTCATGGATCTTATCTCTTCTTCTTTTCTTCTTCTTCTTCTTCTTCTTCGTCTTCATCTTCTTCTTCAACTTCGTCTGGCATATTGTTTACCCAGGAGGCGGCCATCTTGGTTCCGCTGTACCTGACGTTCCTCTCTGAAGGTCAATAATCACAACGCATCGTTTGATTCACATAAGTTTCGTCGTTGATCAAACATTGTGTTTAACGTTGTCTTGATGTGTGCGATAAAATATGGATAAACTGCAATGTGGCAAGTTAAATAACGGAAACACCACCTTATAAACCAATTAGTAGTAGTAGTAGTAGTAGTAGTAGTAGTAGTAGTAGTAGTAGTAGTATAGTAGTAGTAGTTTTAATAATAATAATAATAATAATAATAATAATAATATTATTATTATTATTATTATTATTATTTATTATTATTATTATTAGTATTATTATTATTATTATATTATTGCTGTTGCTGTTGATGGCGGTGGTGGTGCTTTCAATTCTATTATTATTATTATTATTATTATTATTATTATTATTATTACTACTACTAAAAACTACTACTACTACTACTACTACTACTACTACTACTACTACTACTACTATGTGGGACATCTGTAAACGTAATATTCACTCAATATTCCTGGCGCTGCATCATCGTACTCTGGCAGCCTCAGACCATGACTGTGCACGATGATGTGAGAGATGCCCCGTTCTACCATTATTAGTGTCATCTAACGGCTGGTGTGTTAGTAGAGGTGCTGTGAGAGATGTATTAGGGACTAGCCGCACGGGATAGACGCAGAGCTATCTCGGATCTATCTTTAAAGAATGGAGGCAATTGTCTATATCGCGAAGTATCGTATTCTGGCAGGAGGGTTGAGGGACCTTGTACGGCGCGTGAGAATTGTCGTATCCAGAGGACCCCCATCCCCCAACATGCTTCCTTTCCCCTCACCCCTTCCATTCCACCTCTCCCCTCCTTTAACATCCTCCCCTCCCCGGAACCCATCATGGCACAGCATTACAGGGAAGTGGTGGTCCGGGTGAGTGTGGCACAGCGATAAGATTCTCAGATTTACATTACCTTGACAGCTTCCACCTTGAACATCATGGGTTACTGTTTACGTTACCTTGACAGCCTCCACCATGAACATCATGAGTCAATGTTTACATTACCTTGACAGCCTCCACTTTGAAAATCATGGGTCAATGTTTACATTACCTTGACAGCCTCCACCTTGAATTTCATCATGTTAGTGACGTCAGTGGCCATCTCCTTGACAAGCTGGAGGCCATCATTCTCCTGCAACTTGGCTTCTGAATTCTCGAAATT